AACCAATTTTAAAGTGAACTGTGCCTTCCAAGTTCAGCTGTAATTTGGTGCACGGCCGTCCACCATTCCAAATGGTTTGTTTTTGAAAGAAAATCGTAAAGGCCCTTGGTTTCGATACCATCAACCAATTCAGTGGGGATGGAAGACGTGCACACTTCATAGTTCAGCGGAATTAATCCAAGTCTATGAATCTGGTGAAATCACCTGCGCCCGGACGAATAAAGTCGCTCAGCTCAGAAGTGCAAATTAGATGATGTCAGAGCAGGGTGTTTTTTTTGAATATAACAACGATTAATCTAATTATGGCTTGATGACGACATTCACCGTCTGCAAGCTAATTTTGAATGCTGGTGACTCACATGGAACGACGCTTCTGTTACGATTAGCATGCTGAGTACCGATGGTAACATGCTTATCCGGATTACGGTAGTCACGAATAGTATCCCATTGGGCTTCGATCTTTGATGGATCAGCTAGACAGTCTTGAAGGAAATTCTGTAAATACATTACTCGACTCTGAGATCAGCTTATCCGATGCAGATTACTTTAAAAATATATTCCGCTACGAGACATGGTTCCTCACTCAACCTACTTAGGAGGAAGACAGCGGAATCAGGAGGTGGAGTACCTCCTACAGAAAAAAATTACGGGCTAGTAGTAGGCCACAAAAGGGGAAATCTAGCGTAACTCTCAATTCGCTCACAGTCCGGAATTTCCTAGTCAGTTGACTCGCCGCTGGACCCATCTTGGTTGCACTAGTTAGTTGTCTCGCAGCGGTTTGAAATTCTGTTCAACAGTGGCGAGATTTTAGCCTAAGAATCAAATCTGTACGGCACCCTCGTACAACTGACTGCTCCCCAAGTGAAGTTAGCCTTAACGAGTACGTAAGGAAGTGTAGAAGGCTAACAATGCTGAGCTTCCGCAGGTTGTCTTCCTCGCTTGATGTGGGATGTGCCTTCGAAGGGTGTGATTGGGCAGAGTAACTCATCCTACCATAGGAACTCACCAATATCACATGACCAGTAGAGATATCGATACTCGATTGGGCGACAGCTTCTTCACACCAACTAGACGTTGATGAGCTCTTACTGCCACGTCCCGACCCTGTGTCCTGGTTCATTCGTTGACGGCAAAGTTCCTGAAACCAAAAGCTTAAATCCGCTCAAAGGCAGATAATCTTCCTCATTTATAGACAAATCATCACTCAAATCTTTTTTTTTTCAAAAAAAAGGTGATATGATAGCTCCCGCAAATGGAATCAAGGAGTTAGAGGGACTTGTGGATTACACTGCTCCTTCATCTTTTGTTTATGGGTCTATGATGAGGAAAACATTCAAGGGCATAATTTCAGCTGAAGTTCCAAGCCGTTATTTTCACGCTCATAAAAACTTTTGCTACAATTTGGAGAGACTCCAGAGTAAGGAAGTGCGTCTGGCCATAAAGAGCCCTGGTCCTGACCTAAGAGTTTGCAATTGTTACAAAATATTTCTACCGGACCACCAGACCAACCAAAGGGGTTACCGCCTATTCACGGCATCACTACTTCATAGAAATCACCAACAGTAAGTGGACACTTCTGATGCGAGGAAGGGGTATGGAACGCTGATAAAGCCGCTGGAACCCAAAGCTCTTGGGGCCTAATTGGTGAAGCGTACCCTCCCCCGGAACCAAAATGCACTTGAACATTGTAGAACAACCATAACTAGGCATTGTTTCACAACAATCTTACGCTACTGTATTCAAGGGTACTCATTTTGGTTGGCGTCGGTATGCCACCGCAACACCGGTAGGAATTCGGGCCCAACTCATTGTGAGGTACAGTAATCCACGTGATCCCCACTCGAATGCCTAACAAATGCTCACTAGGGCTCTGAACTTCCCCCACTTCTCCATCTTGCTGCTGGCTCAAGCCCCATTCTTGATGCGTCATATATGCGACAGATTTTTTAAGCTTTTTTCTCTTTTTTCAAATGTGTATGATTAATCTCACAAGATTGATGATTTATGGACAAAACTTCAGTCTGAGACGGGACTCGAACCCGTAATTGTGCTTTCGGAGTTATGATTAATGTTTCACAAAGTCGCTTGTTACTACAGCAACTCTCTTTCCATTAATCTGTTATCGACTCGTAGTGATTTATGCCATTATAAATCGACGAACCTGATAAGTCAAGCTGTTCTTTCCTTCAATATCGTGGATACCGTTTGTGATGTTGGTGGTGTAGAAACGACGATGTTTCATTAGATGCACCTTAAAAACGGGCAATTCGTCCTTGTCATGAATACTCGTCCAACAATATACTTACAGCCATCACAGAAATAAGTGCAGTGATGGTGAAAGCACAGATAAACAGCACTGGCATAAACATCCAATCTCGATCCGAGGATTCAACAGGTACAGAGTCCTAAATGGAATATCACGGTTATGGTATGACAGCTGTTTCGAGAAAATTCGGCAGCACACCTCTCCTATACCAATACCAGTTTCGTCTACTTGGGCGCCCGAGAATCTCGCAATGTCTTTCCGTCGTTTATCTGGAATTGGGCGGTTATTTCGATGCTGACTCTCCGAGCTCACTAGTCTTAATTAGTACTGTAGCATGTTGGCAACCAATGATCAATATCAATCGATAACCAGCACTTACAGACAGCTTGTGCGACGCCTTCCACAGTGTCGATGCGCTTCTCGTTCTTCGGTTTTGGGTTTTCAAGGCGACTGATACGCATCGATAATTGATTTTTGTCGAATCTAAATAATCACCCTTGAAGCACACTGCAAATAATCAACGACAACTTTTCAACGGTTCTATTGATAATCACGTCGATCCCGAATTATACCCCCGATCAATATGTATGTTTCCTATGCCCGACCCACGGAAAGGTTTCGGTCAGATATTCGGATATAAAAGCCGACTACTACCGCTTCCATTTTGGTTCCGCTGGTTTCAAAAATTGAACTGCCATAAAATTTATTGCCCTCTTTAAACCTATAAAATGACAGCAGGGAACTCGTCCAAATATGGACGAGTTGTGGAGGCGGGCCTCATTGCGGTAGTAGTCCTTGGTAGGCTAGCTCCGCAATTTCATGGAACGGGGCATAGCGTTAGGGAGAAGTGAACAGCCCTCTAGTAGGCAAGCTGACAGCTTGTTCTAAAGAACTGATAGTAGTCTGAAGTATTCAGCACTCAGTAGGTATACCGAAGAATAAATCGCCAAGAATCGATAGTAATGCTACATGCCCAACACTTCTTGATGTTTTATTTCCATACATCGGGATATTTCGGAAAAATTATAAGGCTGTAATTTTCTAAATAGCCATTTAAGTCAAAGTAATCCATGCTTACTGGAAATCGTCGAACAACAAGTTGTTGGGTGTGGCGATTTTGTTTTGCAAAAATTCGATTAACGGATAGAGCTGTTCTTCATCTTTGATGTTCACCTAAAGGATATAGTGAGAAGTATGATAATTAATTTATTCGAGAAAACGAGACATTATAAATGATTATTCACATGAAAGTGACGAGATTATTTTTCAGTCTTTATAATTGGGCGTAGGTGGCATACTGACATTCATGACTAATTTTTTCGAACCTCTCCTCTCCCGCTCCCCCGCTTCCCTAAAGATTGATATGGCTAGCAATGATTTTAGTGATATGTGGTACTATATTACACATATGATGCATCCAAAACTTTCAAGGGGATCTGGACCATATCCCAAACTGAAGCGGTTTTCTGGTCTGGAGCCCCTAAAGTCCTCTTTCCAGAGTACTTGCGGCCTATGAGCCTACAAACCTTTTGAAACATAATTAATACGCATCCTATGGGTCAATCTACCTCCAAAGGCTAATTTTTATAAAACCCACTAGAGGGAGGATCCATGCTTCGAGAAGTCAGAAAGTCAGAGTCTTAGAATAAGTTAAAGAGTCAATGGGTCTGCAACTCGAATTTTACCCATAAAAACTTCAAGTGATAGGTATCACGTCCGCCTAATCTTACTGGGATACAAATTGGCATTTTAATGTGATCAGTATAGCATCCTCGATAAGTAAAACTCACTTTCAAATAAACTCTGTTACCAACAACCCTTGTAATGGCCATGTTACGTCCTTTAACGATCTTGTGCTCCACATTTTCGAGACCTTAACATCGGATTTTTTTCAAAAATAATTACAATCAACTCGGTAGTGATCAGTCTAATTTAAATCGGCTGGCTCCTAAGTACTGCACCTATTACTGGATCAACTATCAAAAAAACACTTGAAATCTTTCTTGTATAATCGTTATTTTCGATTTTTTTCCATTTTTTCCACTTTACTACTGAATTTGGCTCCATTCAAAGAAGATGCTTGCGGTTCTAGGTTTCCAGGACCGAACAAAGTTCTGATTCGGAAGTTATGTCAGTGGAGGCCTGACAAAACCAATGCGCTCTAGTTTTACTGTGAAGCACATTTGGCAGTAAACTTTAACCATCCCAGTTCCTCTGAAGTTGGGCAAATCTTTCACCTTCGTGTTTACGCTGAATAGGTTATAATGTAATGACATCATTTGGGTGAAGCTCGAGCTCATGACTTAGTCAACAGATCACGCAAATTATGCCCGTGTTTGGCTGTACTTTCTCTGAAAACATGATGATGAACTATGTAAGCCCTTTTTCGGTTCGCGAACACAAAGCGCTGGTTTAATCAGTTCGGCTTTGGCTAGGGTATTAATATGTCATATCAAAAATGAATGTAGGAAATGAGAATCGTAAAGGTTCCCTTCCGTTGGTCCCCTTGTTTCAGCATAGCTACAAAAGCTGAGCTCTAAGCGAGTATTCAAAGAACACGCATGATGACTTTTCTTCAGGAGTGTTCTGAGAACACGCATGAAGGTTCATTCCGATGTGTTCTGTGGACGGTTGCTGCTCGAGTTTCCTTGTAGGAGATGTTTGTAGGAGCAACGAGAAGGTTACGCTATGAAGAAGTTTGTAAAATTCAAAATTAAATGGCACAAGCATGGGTCCACCATGAGTGTTGGAAGTCGCTTACTGAGACCAGTTACAAGAGGGCATGAAGTTCCAACCATAAGTATATGTGTGACAACATCATGATGCTCTCCCGTAAAGAACATAATCGCTAAGGCTCACGTGAGACAGCTCAACTGACATAAGCCATGGAACTGAGTTTAAGAGCTTATTATCGAGCTGGATTGAAAGTAGTTTGCCGCTGCATGGTCCAAAAGTGATTCTAAAGGAATCCTTGACCTTATGTTAAAGTTTTCTGTAGGGTAGTTCGTTTCGCCCCTCACTTAGACGAACCACTTTGTTCCTACTGTCCCTCGGGGCTCTTCAGTAAGTGAGGGACAGTAGGGACCAAAGAGTATGTAAGTCAATGTGGTAAATAACTATCTACCCCAACAATTAATTGTAATGTATTAATAAATAAGCATTATAAAAGACGTCGAATACGAACTCCGTAACCCGATTCTTGGTTTTACTCCAGTTGTTTTGGGACCGACAACTAGAGACAGTGTCGAGACGGTTTCTTTCCGAAAGTTGGTTCTGATGGCTCTTCACTTCTTTGGGATTGAAATGACTCTACCTTTGGTTCGGAGGAACAGCTATATTTTCTAAGAGTGCTTATCTAACTAGCTGTACGCTCTTCAGATAACACTCTAGCGAGATTAACTTAGACCGTGCCACCCTTACCCGATCGACTCCATGAGTTGAGGGTTTAGTGGCGATGGTCCCATACTTTCACATACAACCATCACTAGTCCTATCTCTCCAGGGGTGAATTACTGAGTGATGGCTCCATTGGGTATTACGCTTGCATCAAAGGTCTGTCTCAAGCATGGAACTTATGCTGCTTAACGTGGTCAGCAATGTTTAAGGACATGTGGACGAGATATTTGCAATCACAGCTTGGCTGTTAGTCTATCGTCGATGGCCCCTCTGATGGAGAAGATTGCTAGTGGCAAAAACAGGAAGGGCTTTAGTTCTGATGTTTATGTGGAAAGACAAGTCGTACTTTTGTTTTGCATAGCTTTGTCCGAAATTTGGGATCATGACTTTTCGTGATTTCGAAAGAGCTTTCCCACATGCGTCATCTACTCATCTTCGGGTAATATCATTTCCGAGGCTCTAGCGACTATATTTGCGCTTACAAGGGAAGGATGCTTGATCACACTGGCGATTCAAGATGAGACGAATAGCTTTGTAGGTGGTTTCGAACGCTAATTTCAAATCCTCTTTTCAATCTGTTAGACGATTCTGTAAAGATTGTTCTTGGAAGGTTTTTGTTGGACCGAGACTTGATTCTTAGCTCGACAGCGTTTTCAAGAGATTTCCTTTCGTATAATACGATTTCCCATTCTCTACGGAATAGCTGCAGGGCGACCCACATGAAGTGTGGTGGGCAAGAAAAAATCGGCTCGTGGGGTTCTGAGCTGTAGGACGCGGTGATCTCTTGGACTGATATGAACATGAAGAACGTCAGCTGAAACTTTCAGCAGNATTGGGCCAAAGGCCACAGCGCAAAGAAGACACTGCAAATATGTGGGATCAAGCTTTCGGGTTTTTGGACGAAGAAGGTTTGGCCTTCAAATTCCCCGATCTCAATCCTTTGAATTTTGCTGTACGGTCTGGAGCAAAAAGACTGCGCTTCCAAACACAGGTCATTAGGCTCTCTGAAAAAGCTCCCTTGTGAAAGCGTGGGATAAAGTTTTGACGGAAGTGATTGTGCGCATTCTTGAAAACATCCGAAAGAGTTTGGATGCTTGCATTAAGACGAAAGGCGGTCATTCTGAATGGGAGATGTGATATGTTGTTTACAATTTGAGTGATAATTGTATAGAAGTAAATGTTTCTTATTTGGTTTGATTTGTATTATTTTAATGTTATTTTTCTGTGTCACATTCATGTAGGTCACCCTGTATATCGATCGACAGTTTTTGAAAATACTGCAAGGGCCGGTGTAACGATATTAGGCCTCATGACGAACTCCATTAGCCGCTTCTAATCATGTGACTAGCTTTCGGGAGCTTTGGGAAAGAAGGGAGTTCCGGGTTCAACAATGACACTGCCCTTTCCATGAAACACAATGGGTCCCTCGTGCTAAGCTTGAACTGCTCGATTGCCTACAATGCGGGGAACACCAATTTATTCACTCTAGAGATCCCACCATCTTACAAAAGCAACTGATCGTATGGTGGTCCCCAGGTAACACCCACACACCCACGTCAACGGCTATTGAGTTAATCATGGCCCTTAAGGGTGCTTATGGGAAGGCTTTACTACGAGCCCATGAATTAAAATGAGCCTCGAATTGTTGTTGAACGACATAAATAGGCTGTGTTGATTAAGGGACAATTAGCAAGCAAACAACAACCTGCCACAAATAACAAACGAATTTTATATATGCGTGGGTACGAATCGTATAGTAGCTCAGGAGGTATCGCTTTTCAATGAATCGCCTCCACAAAATGTCAAGAAGCTCCTGTGGTCAGTACCTGGAGAAAAGCCAAACCCTATCTAACATACATTAGAAATAAGTAAGATACTTGACTATATGGATAGCTCGTCTTCCTCAAACTGTGCTCTTCCCACTTGATGAGCCTACTAAAACTCAAAACCCCCCGATCCTCTCCTACTCCATGGTGTATACAGACATTCTGGTGTGATGAACTACTGGATATGGTACAGTGAGGTCGTCCTACCTTGGCGGACATCACCAAGCTCTTCGGCATCCTTCTTCAACACCAACTTCTCGTCTGCCAATGCATCTAATGGGATCGCTTCTTCTGCTTCGCCTGAAAAATTGACATCAGTCAATTCCCTGGAGTTAAAGCTTAAAAGGGATAATATGGTTTTCCTTGAGGAGTTTCTCCGATGTAGGTTTGGACAGGAGGACAAATGCCAACTTCAATTCCCCCATGATACCTTCTTAGTGTTCGGTTTCCACTTAACGAAATTGCTCTCGACAAAAAACGGGTATAGTTCAGTGTAGAGAGGCGCCATTATCATTTCACAGATTATGGATCAAATCGACCAGGCTAAGTGGGAGAACGATGCCTAGAGTTGTTTCTATAATTTCCTGGAGCAAATATAGCATGACGAAGCTCCTAGAGAACAACAATCAGCGCTTTTATGTCAGTACTGGGTACTTACATGGTTCTTGAGCCAGTACCTACACCCAGAATGTCCACCCTGTTCGTTCTAATCAGAGTTGTGACGCTTAGAATTCGGAGCCAAGTTCCAACTTTAGATTCCCATAGGAATGGTCATTTGCAATAAATGTCAGCGGGGACGTTGATTAGTGACTGCATCAGTGAGTAAACGCCGTTCACGATGAGCTACTCTAGCTTCTAGTTGATTCAGCCGTTCTTGGCTACTAGGATGTAATCGGTACTGAAGCAAGGGTTGACCCAAATGGGTGGAAGTCTTCAACTCACAATTACAATCACATGATGACTTACGAAATTATTTTCACTAGCAAGAACTAGAGGATTCACTCGATGCGAGGCAGACGATGCGCTACTTCTCGCCAGCTTTCCAGTAACACCGAATCTCACCTTCTTAGGATGGAAGCTTAGACTTCTTTTAGGATGGTCTAGAAGAATGGTTGTCCCCTAGGATGAATCTGTGGCCAGTGATAATAGCAAGAGGGGTAGTGTCGGGTCGAAAATGACTTCGACAGGACATTCGTAGGGCTCCAAAACCAGCTTGGCCGGCGTTTACCCAAAAAGTGGACGTGTTTTCACGGCCTCGTTAAGGCTGTACCATTTACAATTAAGCCTCTAGACGCCGACGAATAGTACGCTTATGTGGGAGACACCCAGGCGGTCAGAGACACACAATCTCGTACAACCCGATCCTTACAACTCGTTGAAAGCCTTATATTACTTGAAATCCACCGATATTCTCGTTTCCTTCGCCATTTCGTATTGCACCATGACCTCCATTATTCCGCTCAAGATAGATACCTCAAAACTATCATGAACTCAACCTTTGTGGTCCCTCCTTCAATGGTCAGCCCCTTTCGAGTTCATCATTTGCTCGCCTGCAGTAGTCCATCGAGTAATGGAGGGGCATACAGAATTTCGGAATACACTCAGTGAGCAATAAATGAGCAATTTCATTTCCAGCGAGACAAAATCGATTCGTTCCTCCTAACACTGCCCTCTCACCATTCTCCATTCCGATTCAAATTTAAATGAATTACCTCTCTGTCCAATGGCCGATAAACATCGCTAATTGCTCGAATCCTTTGGCTGACCATAATTCAATCCGTCTACGAAGCCATTCGTTTTCGAGGGCTATACGTCGTCTACGAAATCCCGGACTAAGTGGGAAGCCCCTGGGTGCACGGGTTAACCAAAGGAATTTTCTACTCGATGGCGCTCGAGGAAGTTTTTTTGTTTGTTTGTTGTTATGTTACCGGTAGTAAACAAACACTTTCGAAACTACGGGAGCCCTGTTCGCTGGCTCTCAGTCGCCGCTCAGGCGGCCTCAACATCGTTCTAATCAACCTGACCCACCTACACCGAAGTGGAGCTGGTCCGTCTAAAACAGAGCGGCCCGAGAAGGGGGTTGTCCACGGCCAGTGCTACTTCGCCAGAACACCTCTTATCACCCCTTATCAGCTGTTATCAGTTTCTCGCAGCCTTCATCCTCGGAAATACCAGAAGGCAACAGCTAACATCCAACCGAAGCGAATCATCTTCTGCGAGTGGCTTATCCACTCTTGGAACGTCGGCTCGAAGGAATCCCTGTGTTGACGGATTGGGCAGTGACAACAAGCAGACTGGCCCAGGCGGCTTACCAATCCCACAACAAGAGTATTTGATTTGCCGTCCTTTCAAAAATAGATTTAAACTGAAAATCTAATCCGTGCTGGACAACAAAGAAAGCGTTCCCTAAGCAATCGCTTTAGGGTGTACACCAACATGGGAACGGGGTAGGGCAACGAGACAGCCAAACCCCTAACGTGGAAAATATACATATTGATCGGTCCTATCAATAGATTTACTATTTCTACAGTGGATTTGAGGAATTTCCATCAAAAACAATTAAATGCAGGGAAAGGGGACACCCTAGTTAAACATGGAAATGGATCTACCTCTACTTTGCTCTGATTCGATTTCTTCGGCATCAGCGAGGTTATTCTTGAGAATGAACAAACGATTTATCAGTTCATTCAGCTGGTCGTCAGAGAGTTGTGATAGATCTGAAATTACTGAAATTATCATGAAAAATCTGAGAAAGATAGACCATGGAAATTGCTGATCACCTGGATTTTCCTCCCGCAGGATTCGTTCGATATATTCCTCAACTTCTGGATCACCGCTCTCGTTTTGGCCAGTCAACTCTGAAGAAGCGGATTCAATGTGGAAAGAAAAATGTAAGTTAACTAGTAGACCCACAAAACCTTCATAAAGGGAAACGCGTTGCGCCATGCACGCAAAGTCTGCTTATAATCGCCGACATTTTGGAACATTTCTATTTTGTCTCTCTCGTCTGTCTGTTCATCCCGAATCCCAAAGGACACTCGGCTGGGTATCCTTTGGGATTCAGGATGGCAAGAAGTGTAAGCCACGTGGTAATCTCCCTGGAAGCCTTTAGTATTGAACTTTATCGGATGGATTCTTTTTTTTTGGAGCTGATAAACTAGAAGGTTTATAGTCAGCCGTCACGCTTTCGACCCCAACTCAGAGTCGAAACTGCGTTTGGCTGCACACCTACACAATGGTCTGAATAGGCCAGGCAATGTGTATGGCAGCTCTTTCACTCTCCCAGGCAGGTTTGGAACTAGTTAGCCAGTCCCAAAGTAGTGGAAGGCCGTGGAGATCGGCTTGCTTTTTGTGCATCGATTTAGGATTTGATCGGTGGACCAGACGAGAGAAAGAGGAGCCACCTGGCACTGCCTAGCTCCTTTTAGAGAGTCATAATGCAAAGTAAAAACAACAGACACTTCAATAAACGAAATTTCTGACGCCATTTTGCACTTTCCTTTGTTCCGTCGCCTCCCTTTGCAGGCCATGCAACAGCAGTATGGGCGAAATTGTCTACGAAAAAAACCCTACCCACATCTTATGAGCCTACTGCAGGGTATCATATGGGATGCACGGTTTCGATGTATTGGCGGGTTTCCATCCCATGAAAGGGCGACGGAATGCTCCTGGATACTCCGCTAGCACTTGAATGCTTCACGGTAACTCAAGATTACGATTTTAAGGCCCAGAATCAGTCCTTGAAATTCTTACAAAGCAAATGATAACTAATTTTGCATGGAAATTGCAATTTTCTGGAGCATACGGCCATAAATATGCAAATGGGCTCGATTAATGGAGTTGTTTTTGAAAGTGAACCAGTTGTTTGGCAGTTCAAAGGCACAGTTCACGATAATTCTGAGGTATCTAGCTCAAGAGAAATATATAGTGGAAAATACAGATCAGAATAGTGTAAAAATGATAAAGAAACCGAGAAAACGATAGATTTTAAGAAACATGAGGCTGAAAAGGTAGTAAGAACGGTGGTTGCACGATACTGTGCGTCTGTAACCGTCTGGATGTCTCCCACATAAGCGTACTATTCGTCGGCGTCTCAACGCTTCGTTGTGAATGGTGCAGCCTTAACAAGGCCGTCATAACACGGCCATTTTTGAGTCTGTACGTCGCGGAAACTGGTTTTAGAACCCTTGAAACGCCCTGGCCGAGCCATCTTCCGACCCGACAGTGTCCCGCGTGTATCCTTGGTGACCAGAGGTTCACCCTAGGGGAATCTCAGGAACTATTTTCATCGTGAGCTGTTCCTTTAAGTTACAAGCAGTACGCAAATTATTTATTTATGTAACTTAATTAATTATCTATCTATCGACATACAAGGGGGAGGGAGAGGGGTGGGGGGTAAAGATGAAATAATTCTGGCAAAGAGAAAAGTGGCTTTTTGTGAGCCTTTTGCTTTCTTTATTTTCAGTCTTTTTTAGTGGAATATGTGGAATATCTCATTCTTTTCTCTGATTTTTCCCTTGCCAATTCTCTGCAAAATTCACTTTTACATGAACAATCGCCAATGTTGCCAGGATTTCTGAGAAGCCCCTCGACCACCACTCAAAACTCGGCAGTTTCTTTTTTTGCAATGCGATGTTGTCAACATTATGAATAATTCAGACATCCTTGGAATGGCGTCAGTACATGGTTGACGTCAAGAATCGTCGAAAAATAAAGCAATGACGAGATTCCTTCATCAGTCACAAAGAAAGGAAACTGCTAAGAAGTGAGAAGGCGGTGGCAATTCTGCGAAAGTGCTAAGTCAACAATTACGAAGATGAAGGTCGAATTTCAACGAGCAGAGGATTGCATAGCGGATTTATAAGCAAAACATTGAAGCTTCACAATTTCTATTGGAAACGGAACGAGAATGCCGTAAGAATCAGCTGCCCTGGTCCATTCATGACTACAAAAATGGATTTTATTCCACTAAACAATCCGGAATGAAAACGCCTAAATGAAAAAGGAAAGAATGAGGGATCAAAGGATAAAGCCTTAGTATCAATCCCGACGGAGGGATGCGCCACCGCATCCGCCTTCCATTCAAAATCGTAGTGATGTATTGAATGCGCATGCAGCCTATACAATGANNNNCAGGCGAGTCTGGTACCCATTCACCGACCCCGGAGGGATGAAAGCTTGGTTGGCTAAGGCGGATATCGAGCAGGGATTTGAACCCGTGACCTCGCGTGTGTGATTGTTTACTGCTACGCCACCGCCGTTCCCTTTGTCGACTAACTAATTTTTTAAGACAATTTTAATGGATACCATTTTTTCACCCTCTGTTTACCCATTTCCCATGGGAGAAGCATTTTTTCAGTTTAGTTGATAAAAGGAGTTCAGGAAGTAGGGGGAGCATAGAAGATGTACTTAGTTTCCCAAATTTTTGTTCATCTATTTCTTTGCTTCATTAGGTTGACCAGGTTTCGCCTTGTCAGACCTTTATACACTCGTCAATGACAATCCCAAAAATGTCCATCTTTCAAGAGAGTGTCAACCACGTGCGAGTCTGAGCAAAGCGGCCTCTAAACATCCTCTTCGGGACTCGAACTATAGAAGCACCAAGCAAGCAATTTATAATTGAGAATGTTGCGTATAGAAGGCACTCAAACACGCAAAATGTTCATAAAGTATACCGCTCACGGCAGAAAGGCAAAAAATAGAAGAGGTAAAGTCTGAGATGGAGAAATGAATTTATTTTTCTCCCTGAGGTGGGCCATGCAAAACGATGCCTATCCAGAATCTTCCACTTGTTTTTGTATTTGGCCTGTTCAGGTCAATAACTGTCCAGTACGATTTTTCCAACACAGATATGTAGGTCTTGGATCAAAAAGAGGCTGTAAAATTGGTGCTGGAGACGTGACAACGGTCGAAGCCTCTCTTCGGGAACAAGCCCTACCGATTCTGAAGGATAAACTTTGGAACTACGTAGACAACGAACTGCGAAACGAACCTTTTAAAAACACCTGTACTCTTACAGGAGATTTTAGTAAGATCGTAAGTTTTAGCAGATAAGGATTTCCATGGAAAACTGACACCAGGCCGGAGAATTTAGTTAATTGCTTGGAGCGAATGATTAGGCTGATACCAGGTGGCTAGGTCCGATTAAAAAGGCAATAATAGAGTGAAGTTCTCGAAAATTCTCACAGAGCGTCTCATACCCTCATCTTCTAATCGCAGGGGTCTTTTAGTGGGTGCATGGCTATCGAGACTACATTTTCATCAGCACCAGTTGAACCGGCAATACAAACACATATCATTAGATGTGAAAAGGAGCTAAGGCAATTTATTCTTCTGGGGTACTGCAAAGCGTTCAGCTGCCGTTCTGCCACTTCCTTTTACAAGATAAGAGATGCTCGGCTAATGTCCAAGCTGATCTATTTTCGTAAGCCTGTCTTGTAGGTGGAATCACTTAATGGTTCATGCGGAATCTGATTGCATGGTCATGGTTCTCCGGTAAGTGGCACTTAGAGCTGCGAGTCATACCGGAACCCAAGATAGCCTCATCTGACTTATTCGTAGAAATCTATTACTCTGCCCTGACTCATTCGGCTTTTTTTCTACGAATTTGTGTCTGGGCTAGCAATGATTGGTTACCTTAGTGGTCAGGCGGATGTTGAAAAAACCTTGATGAGAGTCACGAGGAGGAAGGGTGCCTGTGGTTGAGAAGCAAGAAGCTCCCGGGGATGAAGTCGATTTTCCTTCAAATCTGTGATACTGGCCCATATAATTCACATTCTTTTCGAAGATGTAATTTTCTGTGAAGAGTAGATAAAGGATGAAGGATATAGTTTCTGGCGTCAATCAATATTGCTTTGGGATGCGCCTCGCATTCGACATCCATTCAGCATCGTAGTGGCGTAATGAGTGCGTATGTGGCCTTAACAATGAATTGCGGTGGCCAGCCGATGTACAAGTCAGTGCTTTTATCCTCCTAGACGAGTCCGGTACTAATTGAGCGACCCCGGAGAGATGAAAGGCTTGGCCGGCCTAGGCGGATATCGATCCGGGATTCGAACCCGTGACCATGCGTGTGCGATAGTGCGCCACTTGCCACTAGATCACTCCCGCCACGGGAAGATCATATCTATCTCATGTTAAAAAACGCTCAATCAGCTCTATTCTTCTATCGAACAATCATTTTTCGAAAATAACGTATATATAGAAAAATCGCAACTTCAATAATGAACCCAGCGTTTTCGGATCCCAGGGTAATTCCAAAGAGACTAATTACGACCTATTCATCCTTACACCATTGAAGCCATTCAATACAAATAATTTATCTGACACCTTATGGATAGGTTTCACTAAAGAAAAAGGAGAAGGATAACCTGAAAAGATCTCAAATGTTCCTTTGGAGAGTCTCACACTTTCAGACTCTACTCACGGGGACTTGGCTTGTGAGAGCTTTCCTGAGCGCATCAACAAAACAAGCACGAGAAAAAGAAAGAGTAAAGGAAGAAGCGATTCGGGTCCGCGGTCAGCTATTACGCACTCATTTCCGCATCTTTCACGAAGTGAACCCTCGAAATTTGAAGAGATTTCGTCAAAAATAAATTTTTCTTTCAACCACTATCAGTGCAATTTTATGGTAAACAAATTAATTTCCTCTCAGTGAACCGATGAATAATCAATTGGCATACCTCCAATGTCAAGTTGCGGAGCTGGTTCCTGGATCTGATCGAGAATACTCTGAATTTCTCCTTCTGGAATTGTTTCTGCTACCTGTTCAGTGTCATTATCGACGGGATCAACGTCTTGCTCTTCTAGTGGAACTACAGCATCAATGGTTCCTTCACCACCTTCAGAAACTTCAACTGGCTGAAATGAAGGAATATTAACATCCTGGCGAAAAACAGCGGAATCTAAGACAAAAAGTGTGAGGTAGTCGATATAAGCGAATCCATTTGGAGTGCGCCATACATTCAACTTTTCTTCTGAATCGCAGCGGCACTTAAATGCGTGTTACGAGTAGTCAGGTTCATTTCGACTTATTGTTTTATCAATTGCTTTATTCCACATGGTTGNATGCTTTCCGAGCTAGGGGTTCGAGTCCCGTCCGAGGCCAAATAAAGCCACCAATATCTCCAAGATCTGAAGGGAGCCCGTAACAGGTGTAGGTATTTTATAATAAGTTGATACTGTAAGGTCCCTGATCGGTCAGACTTCCAAAGACCATAATAATTGACTCCCACGTTTGCCTTCTACAGCGTCGTCCATAAACAAATGAATAAATAAATAATGCCTTATGTAGCCGTGTTAGTAAAGAAAACGATAGATTATTCGAAAAATCACTTACAATCCTATTGCTATCATCAGCTACGTCCACGTCTTCGGCGATTACAGGAACTTCATCTGCCTCGGATTCCAATGCCGTGGGATCTTCGTTCAAACCCATTTCGATCAACTAAAATGTCATTTACAACTAAAAGCATACCCCTTTGCCAATAGTAGCCGGCCTACCTGAATGAGGGCCCAGATGTTGGCAGGGTTTCGTACTTGGCAGAAATCCGGATCGTACTGTAGACCATAGTACATTGAAAGTTTGAAGTATGAAAGCACACATTGTGCACGTTGATCTGGCCATTCAAGGCCTTGTTTTGCTAATCTAAAAATCAATAAATCAATCAATACAAACTTTCAACTGGTGGAGGCATGCTCATATGTTCATAAGGGAATTCAAGGGAATATGAGTCCATCTTTCGGCATAGCAACGAGTAGAACTAACTGATCAGCAGAAAAGATCAGTCGCAATCAATTATCGATTGATAGTGTCAAATATGGGGACGTACCTGGTAAGTTCTAAACGTAGTAATTCCAATTGTGTGTCATCTAGATGATCTATTACTGTAGGCTTAGGCGCCCCGCTACTTGGCGAGTAGCACTGTCCGAACACGCCGTCTATAAATGAATATTTGTTGATTAATAAATCAATAATAGGGGTTGTAACCAATCAATGGTAGCCAACCAATCAATCAATAACTGAAATGGAAATCATTGTACACACGTAGCCACCAGTTTTTCATCAACGACTAAATGCTAAAATAAATAACAAAAAACAAATCCATAATTATACGAATAAATATAAACCAGTAAGTATGAACAAGTGTAAAGGACAGCTATAACATATGAAGATAAATGTAGCAGTTATACAAGCAAAACAACATCGTAAATAAAAATACATAAACAAATGTAAATTGAGGTGAACTTAGAGGGCATTATGAATAATTAAAAAATAAAATCTCTAAGATAGCTCTACATCGAAACTCTACACTCTGGCGGTGGAGATGCTTTTTCAATGAGCTGTTTGTCCTTCAGGATGGCTATCGTGTCAATTCCTTCGTAGCCCAGGGTT